GACCATTCCCTGGAGAAGGATGTCATTCTTGGTAGGGTGGAGGGTCAACGAAAGAGGGGGAGGCCTTCAACGAGATGGATTGACATGGTGGTTGCCATGATGGGCTCAAATATACCAGGAATCACCGAGCTGGAGAGGGATCGGGCAGTGTTTTGTTCTGCTGTGTGTGGGGTTGCTGAGTTGGGAACGACTCGATGGCACCTAACAACAACAACAACAATGTCCCTGTAAACTCACTCAGTTTTTCTAGCTCAATTATAAGGTTCAGCCAGTAGGAAGAGACCAAAACATTCTCTCCTGGATTTGGTCACTTTGTCTGAGGGTACTTTCTCTGGTTAGCCTTTCAGCCACCAGCTGGTAATGGCAAACACAATCTGTTACCAATAATGCCTTTAGTGTCTCAAGGAAACAACAGTGCTCTGTACTTGGCTATTGCTAAAGTGTCTCAGACCTGTGTGAGGAAAAGATTATTAGCATAACAATGGCCAGAAAAAATGGGCAAACATGCTATCCTGATGGAAAATTAGTGACCTTATACCAAACTATACAGACACTCATAGCTAAGATCATAAAACAAAGGCTCTTTTTTTTTTCTTTTTTCCAAAAGAAGAGGAACACTATTCTAAACCATAAGCAACACAGGTCATTTATCTTATGAGGGCAGAGAGGGACATATTATAGAAAAAAGAAACTGATGACGTTTTCCTCACAATGTAAATTTGGGAATAATGTGCTTATCACAATTAGGAATCATAGCCAATAAACATTTTAAAAATCTTTTGAATATACTTTGTAAAACACTATTCACATCAAAGAAAGCTCATGAGAGGAGTCAGTCATTTTAAATTAAATAGTAAAAACTGTGTATTGAGTGCATATTCATTTTTAATTTTTAATTTTTATTGTGATTTGTGTGAAAATTTACAGAGAAAATTCACTTTCCATACAGCACTTCACATACACTTTGTCTCATGACATTGACTACAATTTAACCCAATGCAACAGCTTCCCTCCCACTTCCTCTGGACCGTCACCTCTTCCCTGTGTCCATCCCTCCATACACCTCTGCCCTCTGAGCTGTCTCCCTGTGCATAAACAGCTCTTCTTTTTCTCATGATTGTTCTCTCCAAGGAGTTTATTTACCTCAGGTAAATGTTCAACTCATATGGCTGTCTTTTGTTTGGTTGGAAGCCACAGGTGTGCGTTCAATTCCAGACATGAAGGGCAGCTAGGGACCATAGTCTCAGTGGTACCATGAGGCTCTATCAGACCAGCAAACCTGGTCCTCCCTCCCCTTCATTTTTTCCCCACAAATGATTTTG